GCGCGCTCGCTCGCTCACACACATCCGGCGTAGAAAACGTTTTCCCAAAACATAACGTCACTCATTCAAGTGCATATGTGAAGCTGTAAAAGCAGACCAGGCACCGTCACCCGGATTTCAAAGAGACGCAACGACCTTTCTGCGCTGATGAACAACATTTCGGAGATGAGATTTTTTTTCTGCGCGAATTTGTCGCGCGCGTGAATCCAAATAGGTTTTTCCAGCATGCGTTTACGTTGGCACATACCCGTAATCAGGTCACCAAAGGTCAAAACAGTTGTTCGTAGTTTAAAACACTTCTTTTTGCCCGGGGCTTAAACAGCTAGGGAGCAGTGAACGAGAAGCTGTCGAAGCTGTCAGATACTCCAGCAGGACGCAGGTGATTGTCATCTGCCGAGTCGGCCTTTTCGAGAGAGCTGCACTCTGGCACGCTCCAGCTCCACACCTCACTTGAGGCTCGGCATTTTGCTGCCCAGTGCAGAGGTCAAAACGTGACGTTTTTAAGGTTACCAATAAACAGTTAAACAATAATGTGTAACCGTCTCACTTAACGAACGGCTCCCTCTGGAGGAAAGGCAGCTACTCGACGTGCTCTGTGTTAACCAACACTGGTGTTGAGTTCCGGTCTAGATTTACAGCCATTAAAATGCAGCTTCCAGTCACCTACACGTGGTACATGTCGCATGCAAAACGTAAAAAAGACACACACTGACAGTGACGTCACACCACGGGTCACTTTCATGACGCCGCAACCACCAGGGGGGGCCGAATCACACATTACTATCACAAACTGTCTGCTCAGGTATCGGTCGTTGCAGCAGCAGGAAGAGGCAGTGTGTGTGTGTGTGTGTGTGTGTGTGTGTCGGTCCTGTCTGGAACAATGAACGGCAACGGTTGAGTGAGCAATTATGCATGAGGTTTTGGTATTCAGAGGCGCAGGAGCAAACCGTCTCGGTTTCGCTGACATTGTTTTCACCGAGCAAAGACAGAACAGCGTGAGTAAACAAAACTGTAAAGTACGGCAACGTGTCAGCCGAGTAGTACTGAGTTCCGAGTCTATTGCTTCTTGCGAACCCGCTAATGTTTTTTTTAAAAAAAAATTCACAGTAATGACCTTATAACCTTTCGGGTAATAGAAAACGAATTACGGGAAAATGCATTGTTTTCTAAATCAGATATTTGAATTCCTGTCGGTGTTTCTATGCTGATGGAAGAAGGTAAAGAAAGTGTATTAAAAAATAAAATCTTGAGCGTCAACGTCACAACAGTTCTCGATTATGGTGAGTAAAAAAATAGAAAAAAACAACCAAGTGAAAGGGAAGAGGAAAGAAGTAACCAAACACGTGGGTCACGATGTTTTCCACACAGACGTCTTCATTCACGGCACGGGTGACTCAGATGAACATGGATCTGTACAGACTGTTTCACCATCGCAGCCACAGCTCCACCGTCAGAGCTCCGTCTCTAATCAAAACCTCGTGTTCTCGGAGCTCCTCGCCGCCTCGCCGAGCCCGCGTGACCGGACCGAAGAACAAAAAAAGTCCAGTCACAAAACACTCGCACTAGCACTAAGACACATCTCACGACAGTCCGACTCCGTTCCTCGATCAGTGTTAGGAACACATTGGCACATACTGCAAATTCTGGTTCTAGAGGTAAAAAAATCGTCCGAGCGCAGCCGGGACGTTGTATATCGTAAAAATGATGCTCGTGTCATTTCAAATCGCTGGATCTTCCAATATAAATATGGCACAAAACATGGCGGTGAGAGGCTGCGTGTTCACAACAGATGACGCCTTTTGACCTTTCAGCAGTCTCAACCCCCAGTCGTCCCCGACCTCACTGTGTGCGCGTGTGCCTGAGCGGCCGTTTTATCCACGGAGCGGTCCCCCAAACGCGGATTCACTTGGCGGTAGAAAGCATGGGCTGCTCCGTGTACCAGTGCGTCCCCGGATCTGGCATGCTACCCCCCAGTGGCAGGGCGATGAACTGCGGACAGGTTCCCCCTCCAGCTCCGACCACGCCCACGCTGATGCCTTGCGGGTAGGGATGGTGGTGAGCGTGATGAGCCATGGCGTCAGTCCGACCGATGTGGATCTCGTCCTCCTCGCCCTCGCCCGTGGTCTTTCGGTAAACGGGGTTGTCGAAGTTCATGCTCTTGGTGGAGTTGGTGCGCCAGTTCCGCCACACCAGATAGACGCCAGTGCAGACCAGGCCGAAAACCACTGTGGCAACGATAGGAACTGCATGTATTTAACACACAGAGGCAGGGAAATGGGAAGGGGGGAGGGGAGGGGGGGCAGTGTTAACAAGGCAGAGCAAGTCCATGGTAATGAAAGGCACAGAGAGGAGAACAGGCATGCAGAGGAACGGAAAGGGCGGGAGGGCTGTAATTCAGAGACGCTGTGTCCTTCAGCCAAAAACAAAACTGCCCTAAAGCCTTCAGGATTTTTTTTCAAACAGCTGTTGGTGATGTAAAAGATATTCGGTGTCACCTTTAGCTCCTGGATTTTTTTTTATTTTTATTTTTCGAAAAATTGACAGGCATTCCAAGCTGTTATCCTACGCATTTTATGATTATATCTAAAATTTCAATCCCTGACTCTTAAGACCGTTGAATATCTTGTGATGATGAAGTCTAGCCGTGTCTACGTTTTTCTTACAGATAACAAATATACATGTTATCAGGTTCTCAATAGTATTTCAATTCGTGAGGTTGTGTATAAGTGTATAAGTATACGTGTGGAACCTGTTAGCATAGGGTTAGCGGTTTGAATCCCAACCTGTATCAATCAAGCATCAACCCCCCCCCACGTCCCCGTCCTGTGTTAACCACAGTAGTGTTTCACACCGAGATTTAATGCAGAGGAAAATCGCCCCCTAGTGGATTTATACTGGTACTGAAGGGGGAAAATCTATTAAAATAACTAGGACAACTGTCCTCAAACTAACTCTATTGTGTTCAGGAAATAATCAAAAAGAAACAGGATGTGTGGCATCAATGCCAGACATGTAGGCGAGGCGTCTCTAATTCTGCCGCTGCAGGGTCGGCGCGGTCACAGTTTTCATAAAAAGAGTGGGCAGAGGCAGCAGGGAGACGACAAGCGGTCTCTGCTACGGCTGGACCAAAAACGTGGACAAAGACGATTCAGGCAACTCACCGATCGGGATCACCACTCCTAACACGGCTACTGTCAGGTTCTCCCCCAGAAGAAAGTTCTCGCCTCCAGCTGGGGAGCAGAGAGAGAAGATTGGTTTATTTCATTTAAATAAAAAGGACACATGAGCATGTGACTGGTGAAGACAATAAGATAAAAGAGCAGTTCATCATGTTTAAATGGCAGCGGTTCACAAAGAGAGGCAAAGAAAGGAAGGAGCAGGAGATGAGGAATGAGTCGGCGTTTGACTACATACGACCTTGACCTTCAGCTCTTCATCTACTCCATCATTATTATCACCAACAGCCCACGCTCACGTACAAACTTCACACTCTGGAGCTGAGAGCTCAAACTGTTTTATCAAGAATTCGCAGCTACACAAAGCTAAAAAATTCAGACGTTTCCCAGACAATAATAGCATTATGATTTAACTGTTAAGATGATCATTTTTGATTATTGGCTTCGAGCAAAACTTAAAAAAATTATTATTTTAACTACGCACAGAGAAATAGCCAAAAAAAGACACTCACAGTGCTGTGAGACACTGCTGTCCCCTGCTGGCGTGGTTGAGACCACGACAGCAGAGGCTGTAGACCGGTAGTCCGATTCCTTTGACTCATTTGATGATGCAGTACGAAGGGCGGAGAGAGAGGTAGCTAGCTCTTCAGTACTGGACGCAGCGGTGGTCAGGTGGAGGACGGCGTCCCCCTCTGATAGTTTCCTCGACGGTGGAAGGGAATTTTCGGCCAAAGTTACACCGCCACCAGGTGTTGGCTCAGCGGGAGGCTTGGATGCGAGTGTCAGGTTGGCCCCAGTGCTTGTCCGTCCGGGCAGGTGCAGGTATATTTCGGAGAGTGCTCTGTTATCTGAGGGGCTTTGAGACACAGGTACTCACAGCCCCCGTTGGCTACACTGCCGAGGTTACAGCTGTCCTGACCTGGAGACAAAATTCACATTACACATTACATGTTGCTCATTTTAAGTAAAAGTCAAAAAGACTCACGACCTTAAAAGTAAATATAACACGGTAGATTTAAATAAATAAAACAGCAGAGGCAAAATGCTGGTAGCTATTCCAATATAACACGGTAGATTTAAATAAATACAACAGCAGAGGCAAAACGCTGGTAGCTATTCCTTACTATGGATTTTTTGTTATTTTTTTAGAGGTCACAACTATATTTTACCGGAGCCGCCAGTTGATAATCATTTGTCTGGAACTTTTCATTAATTAAATCATGTAAATCAAATAAAAAAAACCCAACTGTTAACATTCAGATTTTCATTTAAGACCTGGAGACAAAATTCACATTACACACATTACTGTTATTATTCACATTACTGTTAACATTTAGATTTTCATTTAATTTTTTTATGTCCGACCCCAGAAAAATTCTGGTTCACTGACGAATCCAAAAGCAGTTACATCGAGGGCAACTGGAGTAGGTTTCTTGACGACTTTTCAGCTCTCGTCCAAGAGCCTTTCCCAGTTCTGACCGACTACTGGGAAGTTCTGGTATTTAGCCTCGAGGGTAACACGGGTCGTTCTCTGACAATATAGTCGGTGACCCCCTCCTGTACACTGACGCACAGAAAAGTACAACACGATCGGACATCGTGTTCATGATGTAGAGCTTCAATCAGTCTCTGTCTTGAAACCGAGTTGTAGCCCAGGGTTTGACAGGTGAGCAGATGTAGGGCTCCCCCCGCTGGCTGATCTCTCTACAATACCCCGCTCACATTATTTATTTATGCACCAGGGCAGACGAGGAGCCAAGGAAGAAACATGGAGGTGTAACTCAGCTCAAAGACTCGTCTCACTGTATCAGTGCACTCACCGCGCGGCTGACGCAGCTGGTGGAAGACCACGATGTCGTGTGGGTCGTTGAGGTTTTCCGCCAGCATGTGAACTTCCTGCCCGGTCAGTCGGTTGGCCACGAAAACCGCTGCCCTGTCTCTGTCTGTCCAGTAGATTCGATCCTGAGAAGTAGCAATAAATACAACATGATATGAGAGTAGGCATGTTAGCCGTTGTTTGACGATATTAGCATAATTATGTAATATCTGTACGAATCACTATCAGTGAAAGTGAAAGCCACTAGATGGCAGCATTGCAGCTCATTTTATTCATCTATTTTGATAATCAGGGGATTGTATGCAGATTGCTAGTGTCAGGACCTCATATAGGGGGAGAGGAGCGGGGGGGCACCACTGCCCCAATATCGGTATCGGTTGATATCGGAATCGGAAATTAAGTGTTTGCACAATATCGGCATATCGTATATCAGCTAAAAGTTCATATCGGACATCCCTACATGAAAGTCATTCACGTAGATTCAATTCCAAGTACAGCAACTAATTTCTGCAATAAAATACAATCTTCGTAGAGACTTCGTAGGGAAAAAAAAAGCGGAAGCAAAAACATGATTAAAGTTGAAAAAGAGTTGCCTCTTAAAATGCCTTCATGCTCAGCCGACGGGCAAAACGGGCGACTGAAATAGAAGAACAATAAAATAAAACGAGAGCCGGCGGCTGATAGGACGCCCGGGGACAAATGACCCAAAGAGAAAACTGGAGACTGGAGAAAGAGAAGGAAGAGCTGAGGGTGACACGTCGGAGCCACAGGCTGTGACTGCGTCTCTGACAGTCTGACTCACAAGTCTAAGTTATCGCAGGATAAATCACACGGCAGAGAATTAGGGCAACGGATGTAGCACTAATTTATTATCCGTTGCCAAACAGAGTCTGATTTGTGGTTTGATGAAGAAAAGAGAGGATGGGATTTTGGCGTCAGCTTCAAATTCGACGGGATTGATGCGTGAAGGAGATTAATATGCAGCTTTAGCTGCAACATTGGTTTTTTTAGGGTTTTTTTTTCTCAGAAATGATGAATGTGAGAGTAGGAGGTTCCAGGGGAAAATTTAATCTTCCCTTCTGTTTAAGTGTCTGGCACATCCTGTGTGAATCACTACAGTTTTCCATCTTAAATCACTAACAACGAAAGCCGCAGCTCCCTTGTTGTTAACAATCGGTTTTTGTAACGCAATCCAGACAAGCGATCATCAACTTTATTATTAGCTTCGGATTTCCGACAGCGCTGTGTATCTGCGGCCCAGAATATTCTTTGGTTAAAAAACATAAATAAAAAGCTACATGCTAATGACAGCGAAGGAAGCCTCGCTACATGACTTGGCATGTATCTGTGTGCGTGTGGGCTCGGGCTGAGTCGGTCAAATAAAATTGAGTTGTTGTTGTTGATGTGATGAGTTGAACACAACATCAGCTTATTGGATAACAGAAAGATTGGGTGAGTACACGTGGACATGAAGGTCACCAACCCTGCAGTAACCACAGGCCAGAGAGCAGTGAATCCTGCGAGTCAGCACCTCAGCGCATTCATCATCATCGCTCAGTTTTAGCTGCCTACAGTTTTAGCTCCGGCTGAACCAGTGGAGCAAAAAAATAAAAAAAAGCCCAAGGTTATGCTGTAAACAGCTTTTTTCATTTGGATGAAAGCATGAGGAAAGTAAAAATTTGTAGGTATTTGTTTTATTATTATTTCTTAGTTTATATCTGAAAAAAAAAGAAAGATTTTGGTGCGTCAAATTCAATCACGGTGTCGTAAAAACAAACGCAAATGAACAGATGACAGAGGAGAGGATAATGCAAATACAAAAAGCAAAAATGTAACTCTAGATATTATAAATTAGCATGTAATGCTATTCTTCACGTTCCGAGTAAGAATTTTCATTCGAAACCAACGCCAAACCCCTTTAGTTTTATTTATGTAAATATACTGTGGCATTCCAGACAAATAACAGTTTCATCGTGTTCGGCTAGCGGACTTTGTTTCGCAGTGTTCATTATTGTTTATCCATGATTTCAAATCGGAATTTTTACAATGGCTTTTTAGTGCCAATAGAATTTTTTTAAAGTTTTTAACAAAAATAACATTCGCTGAAAAAAAATTCCATATGTGCCCTGATCCAGAGTGGCCTCTATTGACCAGCAGTGGTACTGTCTTCTAAACTGAATTGATTCTGATTCATCCGGGTCATCGATTTCCAATAGTACCGATTTATATATATTTCTAATGCAACATTTACTTGTACTTTACTTAAGGAACAGAAACACCTCTCCCGTCGCACTCGAGGATGTTGAGGGTTCACGTGAGAGCGTCGGGAGGATGATGATTGTAAACATACCTCAAAAACAGCCAGAGCGTAGGGGTGTCCCAGCGTTTCTGCAGAGGATATGTGTGTCCTGCGATGGGCTCCATTCAGGTCCACACTGGCGATATGATGGAGCTTGGAATCCACCCAGTAAAGACGTCTGTTAGCTACATCTAAGAAACACACACACATATGTACTAGATAATAAAAAAGAATAATAATAATAATAATGAGTCCTTCATTGACTGCTGGGATTGACCCTAGTGCTCGGTAAAGCAGTTGATTATGCTGATTATGATGAATCTCTCACCCAGTGTTATTCCATTGGGCCATTCAATGTTGTTAGCCACCAGCACCTGACGGTCCACACCATTCATTCCAGCCTTCTCTATCTTGGCTCGAGTGCCCCAGTCTGACCAGTACATGAACCTGGAGAAAAAAAGTGAACAATTGGTCTGTCAGTTACTGGTTGTCATGTGGTTCTTATTTTTTAATTAGCAAGATGTAAAATTTAATTAGCATTTATAAGAGAGGGATTATATTGAGAAGAATGAGAATTCTTCCACAATAAGCTTTGAGTAAAAGGCAAAAAAAAAAAAATCTAAAATCTAAAAAAAAAAATTTATGTCAAAAGAACTTATTCTGGTCCACAAAACATTCTTCTCACCCGTGGTGTGGATCCAGCGCTATAGCTCGAGGTTCACTGAGGTCGGTGTTGATAAGGACGCGCCTCTTGGTGCCGTCCACTGAAGCCACCGAGATGGATTTGTCTCCAGAATCTGTCCAGTAGAGGTTGTGTTGGAGCCAGTCCAGAGCCAGGCCCACGGGGGTCTGCAGAGATGAATCCACCAGCGGCACCTGCTGGGAGGGGTCGCTGGCGTCGTGGATGAAAGCACTGCAGGGAAGAATGAAGATATCGAACGATGAAGAAAGAGAAGAGAGCGCGGAGTGGCGCTGACAGCCCCAAGGACTCGATTTCAAACGAACGCCTTCAAATGTTGACCGTGAAGTTTCCCATCGAAATCGTCAATCTTTGTGAAAGTCGATGCACGAGTCGAGCGATATCATGTGACCAAACACGACCAGGAATATCAACGAGTTACAGAATGATGACGCGTGACTGTTTGCGTCAAGTGGTTTCCTCTGCCCCCTGCTGCAGTGTTGAGAGACTGCACAGGGGAGACTGTGTGATGTGTGTGTTGGGGCCTTGATCCAAATGCAGTGCACAGGTTCAGTCAGGGGTTAGCATGCGTGTACGGTGGACTTCTTATCGGAACAGACAGGTTGTCACTAAGGAGTTCGCCGTGGATGGTAATGACTTAGCCTCGGCAGAGGTGTGAGGTGAGGGTCAAACAGCCGTGTTCCCAAACAAGGATTTCAATCTCAGTTTCCCCGAGATACTTTTTTTCTTTTCTCAGCGTCTCTTTCAGAAAGGGAAGAGGATGTGATGATTAGAGTGCACTCCACAGGGATGTGATGGGCTGTGGTTTTATATTGGAAAACATTAGACACGATGGAATGAAATAGCAGCAGGTAATCTAAGTGAAATGACTCAATCTTAGCATCGCTAACTAAACGGAAACCGCATGACGTACGAGAGCAATTCTTTTGCTTACAGCAAAGAACCGTGTGCTGGAATTTTCAGGATTGACTAGGATTGACCATGGAGAGATTAAAAAAAATTCATGGGATGTCTTTCACTCACCTCCTAAAATAAAACAAATCTCAGGAGAGTTGTGAATCAAACGACAGCCAACACAGAACAGAGCTGCACCAGATCAATTTCTTAGTGGTTTCCAAAAAACGTGAGAGAAATTGTCTTAAAATTGCAGGCATGCATTTTGACGCTAAGAACCTGTGGTACGTGCAATGACAAGAAGGGTTCATCTAAGATAATCTGAAATAATCTATTTAAATCTAATCTGACTTAATAATAAATTAATTTACTCTGATCTAATCTAAAATAATCTAATCTGATCTAATCAAACATAATCTAATATAATCTGATCTAATCTAATTTATCCTATTCTGAACTAATGTAATTAAAAATAATCTGATTCAATCTAACCTAATTGAATATAATCTAATGATATTTAACCCTAATCTGATCTAATGTAATCAAAGAAATCACAATAAATCTAATATAATTTAATCTAATCTAATGTCATCAAAAGAAAAAAGAAAAAAAGAAATCCGGTTGAATATAATCTAATATAATCTGACATAATCTGATAGAATCTAATTTAACCTAATCTGATTTAATGTAATTAAAAAAAACTCATTCAATCTAATCTAACTGAATCAAATCAAATCGAATTTAATCTAATCCGATTCTATCTAATCTAATGTAACCCTAATCTGATCTAATGTAATGTAACATAAATTTCATTAAATCTAATCCAATTTAATCTAATCTAATTCAATTTCAATGCTTGGATGATCTATATGAACCCACATACAGTAGACCAAAGGCACACCTCATAGTTAATTAAACTTCAGTGATCACATCCTGTGCCATGATCTAAATAATATTCATCAATAAAGTTGACTATTTTTATCCTCATCGTCATTGGTCTGGAGCCTCGTTCCCATGTTTAGATTTTCCTCCACTCACCTGTAGATTTTGCGATAAAATCGGTCGCACCAGAAAACCCGATTGTTGGCCATGTCCAGGTCCAGAGCCACTGCGTTCTTCTGCGTGGAGACCACCTGACTGTACTCCCTCTTCACCAGGTCGATGCGGCGGATCTCGTGGCGGTTGGTGAACAGCAGGTAAGGACTCTTCCCTTTTAAACACATGGAGAAATATGCATCTCATTGACAAGTCTTTACCACACAAGGCACTTGCTTTACACGAGGCACTTCACAGGAGGAGCCGAGACATACTCTGCTGAGGACCAGTAAAAAAAAAAAAAATCAGTCCTGACAGTTTGGTAATGGGCCAAAAAAGGGGTCAGGCCCGTTTCTCTTTCAGAAAAGTGCTCTCATTGACGAGCTGCCCTTATAGTCCGCGTACAGCGGAGCTAATAGGATATAAATTTAGCCGCAAGTGCAGAGCATAAAAGTCCAGCGTTCAGCCTGTGAAGCTCTTAGTCGGAGGGCCTGAATTAGGAGGAGGTAGGG